CTTGGATTTGCGGGTGGTGTAATGGATAATTGTTAATCAGAGAACTGAGGTTCAATTCCCGTTGGGTTTGTTATATTCATTTACGCACAAATATCCTGAGGAAAGGCATGAATCCACAACTTCTCCCCCAGCTATGGGTTAATTAGTATCTCCAAAGAATTTGCTTAGAAAATATTTAGATTTCGGTATTAAAAAGGTCGATATGCCATAAAGGTCTCTCCCAGCTATGGGTTAATTAGTATCTCCAAAGAATTTGCTTAGAAAATATTTAGATTTCGGCATTATAAAGGTCGATATGCTGCTAAACAAAAAACTACAAACGGACAGACCCTGCCATGAAGGAGCAAAAGATGGTTGCTGACCAGGAGCTTTTCAAGCTGTAAAACACAACACTCAGCAGACAGAAATTTTTTTTATGATGATGAAAACTCACATATGTAGCCAAGAAGCTTCTAAGAAGTTGAGATATATGTTCTCGTTTCAAATTGTAATAAAACGATTCAGAAGGAAGCAGACTATGTTGGGCGCGACAAATGGAGTCCTATGATATTTGTATTCATGTTGTTATATTTTGTGTGCTTCTACCATTACAATTGACCATCCGTCGATCTCGAGATACCATGGATCTACGCTCGAAGATTTATGCCCTCTCCAGGTCTAGGCAGAGCTTTATGAGAGATCAGCAGTTGCCCATGCAGCATGTCTCCCTTCTCCAAGCCACCAATGTTGTCCAAGGAAAAGGCAGCTTAGCACTAGCTTTGTCGTAGGAGTTGCAAGAACGAAATTGAACATGACATCAAAATGTCATACGGACTGCGGCTCCGAATTTGATTCAGTTGTCCTTGTCCTAGTATGGTTGTTAACCATAGCTACTAATTACCCATATTTGGAGATTTTGAATTAAGTTTTTCCTTCTCCGAGACCGGGTGCCACCCAAGGCAACCCTGTCTACTCTGCTATTTAACCATATAAAAAGAGAAGAGATGGATTATTTTTTTTATAAAACATGGTTTAGTGATACTAATTAACCCAGATATTTGGTTAGAAAAGTCTTCGGCAACAGACAAGCGACACTTAGTATAAAGGCTAAGTGATGTGGACCCAAAGTCGGGACCACGGAAGGAAAACACGGATTAGAGGTAAGAAAGATATATTAAACAAAAAGGTTACAAAGATAGTGTAAGTGTAAGCTTACTATGTGCTAGTGTCTAATATTGGTAGTCGTACGCGGCTGATACTACGGTATTAGAATACTCTCTCTCTTTCCTCCTCTTCTCCTAGAGTGTTATATCGCATACTTTATATAGTCCTGGAAGAGTCCATGTTGTAGGTATGTTACGGTCTCACAACACTAAGGAAATTAAATAAAGAATAGATTGTGCTGGGAGTAGTTTCACCCAATACCACAAGTTGCTACAAAGACAAAACCATAACCTAAAAACCTGAGTCTTGTTCTTAGATCGTATCGTCAGATCGATGCTTTTATATGGATGTTATACATGACGCCAAACTCGTTCAGAAATATCTAAACTGACAGCTTTCTTTACAAATGCTTTCTCTGATCGATGGCTAAAACGGCTTCGAGTAGTTGAAAGCATGTAGTTGTCAGCGAAGAACGTCCTTCTTTGAACCTTATGGTTCAAGAATCACAAAGAATAACAGAAAGAACATTGCGGGACTAAACTAAAATAGCGCGTATAATTCGAAGAGAGAATGACATAATCAAGACGTTGAAGTTTCATACTAATTCAAATAAAATAAAAGGGAGGAAACTCTCATCAATAATAAAAAGAGCGATAACAGCTACTGGACTTGAGAAACCTATTTTCATGAAAAATTGGTTTAAGAGAAATATATTTATAAATTTTAACCAACAGCAGCACTAACTGCTTGGTCAATGAATGCCGAATATTTCGTTATAAGGACACGGCTAATATTACCATTACGATGTATCTTAGCAAAGACGAGTTATTCCAGTAGGAGAATGCACTCTGTCATCGAGCTCAGTTAGACGATGACACTAAAATCATAACCGGGCTTAAGTGCATTCTACAAACTTTCTATTGCTACTTTAGTCCAATTGAATATATCTGTCTGGATATGACAGAGAGGTTGATTTACATGCAAGATCCTACCCTAAAAATATCAGGGAGCTCTGGACAGTTATTGAGACGTCATGGAAAAAGTATTTTCTACCTGGGGAATTGATGCTACGCTACGTTGTTGCTCTTCATCTGGCTAGATGGCTAGGCACCTATCCTATGTCTTTTGTCACGTCAGAGTAGAAGAAGTTTAAGAAAAAAATCACACAAAACCTGTAGCAATCTAATATATGCACAATTTTTCTAAAGCAAAAGAAAACATTTGTTCATAGAAAAATATATCCTTTCTTGTTCATTGAAAAGAAACATTTTATGAATTTAACCCACGTTGATCGAAATATAGAAAAGTTATATAGAAAATTAATTGTCAATGTGATTCTAGCACTAACATATATTATGTGTAAAAGAATTATTCGATGAAATGTTGCTGAAGATATACAATTGAATACTGATAAAACCGGTTTTAAATCAGATAGCTATTTAATAACTGAAGCGAGTACATATGATATTTCAGCAATTGTCAAGAAAATATCTGGTGTCAACAACACTATTTCATTCTAGGATGATTAATTTATCTTGTTACATTGTACTTATCAAATAAATAGGTGGCGATGAGTAAGTTGTCGCCATTTTATATTTTTATTTCGCGCATGCGCGTTGTTTGTTTTTGATTTTGTCGGCTGCACAGTATCGTAGAGTCAGAGTCTGTGAGAAAAAGAGCACCATGATTTAATTTACTTCGACAGAAATTTAGAAACGGCATGCTGTACTGTTTGGAATTCGTGTCGGAAGCTCCAATACGAACATTTCAGAGTGTTTGGGTGTCAATCTGAGGACAGTGCAGAGGATTTGGAAAGAGTTGGATGAATCTAAATGTGATTACGAAGATACGGCAGCTCGGAAAACTTATTCTGATCGTTCTGTTAAGAAAATAACTCCTGAATTTGTTGGTGAGGGCCTCGGACTCAACACGGAGGCTTACATCAAGTGCCTTGACGAGGTAGTGTTGCACTGGGTCAAGAGTGTGGCTGCTGAAAGACCCTATGTCTGGCAACAGGACTGTGCACCATGCCATACAAGCAGGAGAACACAGCCATGGCTGTCAAACAATTTCTGCGATCACATCACACCTTACATCTGGCCACCAAACTCCCCAGACTGCATCCCCTTGATTATTATGTGTGGGGCGCAGTTGAGCGAGAGGCCAGCAAAACTCCTTGTAAGACCAAAGATGAACTGAAAGCAATGATTCTGTCAGCATTCATCAACTTAAACAAGGAGACCACTCAGAAGAGCTGCAGGAGATTCCGAAGTCGTAGTTGAAGCCAATGGCTATTTTATTGAATAAATTTACTCTTTAGTATTTCAAGATATTTTTGTATAATTTTGGTAAAAACATCTGTTAAAATGAGATGTCAATGTTATTTTCATTTTTGTATCATTTAGACTACAATTTATCCATCGCACTGTTATATACCGTGCCTATGAACACTAATGTATATGTCCCAATCCTCATAAATACGTTGGGCACTATTGTAAGTGGGGGTTATATGCTGTCTAAGTAGTCCACCACTAGCAGTGGTTTACCTATTTCACGTCGCTGGCGAGTATTGTATTTTATAGACGTTATAAAAGTTATCATTTCATTTTCAACCTCCGTTTTGTTTATTCATCATTCAGTAACTCTTCTTAGGTTACAATACGCACCCTGTAAATGTCTAAGGTGTCTAGAAAATTTAAGATACACTGAACTGGGTTTTTTGATAGGAAGACATTTTCATGGTTTTGTAAATGACAATTGTTAAGCTAAAGAAAAAACAACAAAAAACAAAAAAATAAAAAAACAAAAACAAACACACGAATAAAACAGAAATTCTGTGTAATTAAGCAGAAAATCTTCTTTGAGACGAATATTATTAAAAGCAAGAGATATCGTGTATCGATTAATTTAAAGGATCGATTTCTACGAATTACTAATAATTCTTCTCAGACAAGCAGGAAATTCTCCGAGAAAAAAAATCTTGATGAAATTCAGAGAAGGGTCTTTAATATAACGGATCCTGATGTGTCACCTCGACATTTTCTCACCGACGTAACGTGGCTTCCCTCTGTCTTTTTTACAAATATTTTCATGGCAACTGTTCTGATGAGTTTTATCATGCGTCGACTGCATGAATTTAAGTGTGCAACTAAATTGACAACTAGGTTTCACCGTTTTACTGTTGAACTAGCTAGATGTTTCTTTTCTCGCACTTCTCATCTGTGAATATCCCTTACAATTTCTTGCTTCCTCGTCACCTCCAATTTTCAAAGATTTAAACGTGACGTTATTCGCTAAATTCTGTCTTCCTTAATCCCGTTCCTTACTTCACTTCTCCTCACTAAAATGTTCTCACATTCTTTCATTCCCTGTAACCCCCACTCTTGCGTCTTAGTGGCATTATCACCTTGTTTGGGGTGAAACGATTAAAAAAGAAGAATTGTCCGAAGTTTATTTCGAAAGAAAACTACAAGAAATATCGTTCAAAGTTCCGACTTTTTTAAGTCATCATCAGGGTAGGTAAAGACAATTGGTGATTTTCGTAGAACTAGTATTGTGAGTATAAAAAGAAAATCATGGTATTTTCAAATTTTCATATCATGGGGTGTGTTTTTGAGTGTATGAGGTATTATGGTGAATGGAGGATTGAGTGATAACGCACAGGTTCTTTTGGTAAATGTGGTAAATTGTAGCGAGTGAATGGGTCGCAAATCGCATTAGCTAGGTATAGGATAGCAACCTCATCTCACTCCCCACCCTTTTCGGCCTTGTGCCACAATTGTGTATGTTTTCAAAATATATCTCGTGAGTATTGTGACGTAGGCAAAATGATTTGTGACGTGAGCGAGTGTGACGTG